AAAGGATCCTAAGGTGGTGGAGCTATCAGGACCAACTACAATGACAGATACAATGAGATCCATTTTCACTGGGGAGGTAATGTCCTGGGTCCAAAATCTGTGGCTTGAATTGCCAAGCTGGAAAAGGTGAAGGCTAAAGAGCTGGCCACTAAGCTGGGTTAAATGTACAATGTTGATTTCTCTTACATAAAGATGATAAAAAAAAAAACTCTCCTTTTAATACACGGGTGGAAAGGCTAGACTTGCCCAAGGTTTTATTGCTGTTTAATTTGCTTTTACCCAGGCCCTAGGAATTCAATGTCAAAGTGAAGACTGCCACAAACTTCTGCTCTCAGGGATCCTGACAGCCTAGCTGAGCATCAACCCCATCCTTACCGGGGTGCTGCGATCCTTTCCTGCTGACAAGGCCCAGGTCTGTGGATTTCGACCCTTCTCGTCATGAAGTCTCAGGTCACCTCCTGCATCCAACAGTTTGCTGAGTATCCATTGATTGCCGGAAAATGCTGCTGCATGAACAGGGGTGCTCCCATCAAAGCAGCGGCTGGGTGAGAGGGGAGAATGGATACAGTGAATGTCTGCGACAAGACTCCTTCCTTCCAGACAGAGAAGAATCAGGGTATAACACAGGGCTCTGAGCTAACAGCAATCTTTTTTAGCGATGAGGATTACAATATCATTTGGGAGGCCCTTTCAGTTCTTTTTTTTTTGTGGGGGGGGGGACACTCTGAGCCTGGGCACTATCCCTCAGCTCTTCAGCTCAAGGTGAGCACTCTACCACCTGAGCCACAGTGCCACTCCCAGTTTTCTGGTGGTTAACTGGAGATAAAGAGTTTCACAGACTTTCCTGCCTGGGCTATCTTTGAACCGTGATCCTCAGATCTCAGCCTCCTGAATAGCTAAGATTACAGGCATGAGCCACCAGCTCCCGGCCCTTCAATTTTTTTCAGTAACTACATAGTATTCCAAAATAAGGACTGGCCATAATTAGGTTAATGAGACACTGGGGTATCTCTCAAAAGTATAATCTTAGGAGCCAGGCATGGTGAAATCCATCCATAATCCTAACACCTGAAGTTTTCAGCTAGCATAAGCAATATAGCAAGGTTTTATCTCAAAACAAATAGGCTGAGGTAGATGCTGATGGCTCATACCTGTAATCCTAGCTACTCAGAAGGCTGAGATCTGAGAATTGCAGTTCAAATCCAGCCAGAGCAGGAAAGTCTGTAAGATACTTATCTTCAATTAACCACCAAAAAACTGGAAGTGGTGCTGTGGCTCAAAGTGGTAGAGCAGTAGCCTTGAGCGAAAGAGCCCAGGGACACCACCAAGGTCCTGAGTTCAAGCTCCATGTCTGACAGGGGAAAAAAAAAAGTGTGTACACATTCACATGCACGCGCGCGTGTGCACACACGTACACACACACACAGAGGCTGTGTTAGTTCCAATGGTAGAGGGCTTGCCTAGCAAGGCTCTAGCTTCAATCCTCAGTAACACACACACACCAAAAAGATTAAGAAAATATGTAGTCTCAGGACTAGAGGTGTAGCTCAGGTAGGGTACTTGCTTAGCATGCAAGAAGAGGCCTCTAATTTGATCCCTAGCACTGACAAAAGAAAAAACAAGAACAAAAAAACAAAAAACAAATCTCACCAGGCAATAGTGGCTCACAACTGTAATCTTTTTTTTTTTTTTGGTCAGTTGTGGGACTTGAACTCTGGGCCTGAGAGCTGTCTTCAGCTCAAGGCTAGCACTCTACCACTTGAGCCATAGCACCACTTCTGGTTTTCTGAGTGGTTTATTGGAGATAAGTGTCTCATAGACTTTCCTGCCCGGGCTGGCTTTGAACCGCAATGCTCAGATCTCAGCCTCCTGAGCAGCTAGGATTATAGGTGTGAGCCACTGGTGCAAGGCTACGCCTGTAACCTTAACTACTCAAGGAGACTAAGATCTTGAGGATTGATGCTCAAAGCCAGCCCTGGAAGAAAGTCCCTGAGACTCTTATCTCAAACTAACCCAAAAGGCTACAAGTAAAGCTGTGGCTCAAGTGGTAAGAGAATTTGTCTTGAGGGACAGTGACCATGCCCTAGTGCTGGCATACACACACACACACACACACACACACACACACTCTCTCTCTCTCTCTCTCTCATATTTCACCTTGGACTGACTGAAACAGAATTTGTAAGTAAGTTCACCAGATGATCTTAATGAGGCTGGCCTGTACCTGAACATCTTGAGAACTATTGCTGGAGCAGACAGGCTGTCCAGCATACTACCTTGTGAACCAAAACTTCTTCCTTGTTGTAAAACAACTACATGTAATGTTTTCATTATTCCTCATCAAATGTATTTCTGGTCTAGTCGTCTTTCTCACAAACAGAAAGCCAAGTTTAGGAAAAAGGATATTATTTTTCATTTCTCATGAATACTAAGGAAAAAAAGATATAATGGTTGATACTCAACTAAACCTTACAAGTGAACTCAGATCCAAGTGGGATCAAAATACATACTGTTGGACTAGAGGTCTGACTCAAGCCATAGAGCATTTGCCTAGCAAGTGTGAGGAGGCCTTGAGTTCAAGTCCCAGTATCCTCCCAACACACACAAAATACATACTGTTTATTCATTTCTGCCAGAAATTGAACAACAACCCCTTATACTGATTGGGGTAATCTACAAGTGTGGATTTAATTAGTTTTATACCATATCTTTAAAATTTTTTTGAGCCAGATGCCAGTTACTCTTGCCTATGATCCTAGTACCTCATGAGGCTGAGATCTCAGGATCTAGGTTCTGAGATTCTATATTCACCCTTGTTTTCTAGACAATGGTGTTATTTTTTTTGGGGGGGGGGGTCCAGTTGTGGGCCTGAACTCTGGGCCTGGGCGCTGTCCCTCAGCTCTTCTGCTCAAGGCTAGCGCTCTACCACTGAGCCACCTTCCCAGCCCCGACAATGGTGTTATCATACTTACTGGTTTGGATCTGATCCAAAATCCATTAGTGTATCAACTAATTTCTTAAGGCCTAATAATGCTGCAACAAAAAGTGCTGTCTGGCCCAGGGAATTAACTGCATCAACATAAGTTCCTGAAAAACATAGAATCAATGAAAATATCAGGAATCTTAAATTGCCATCTAAGGAAGCACAGACCGAAGTGCAGCAAATCCTATCCTGGAAGGATAAATGGACATCAATGGAGTTTAGCAAGGATTGATCACACACTCAAGGTCAGACCAAATTAACCACCAGAAAACCAGAAGTGGCACTGTGGCTCAAGTGTTAGAGCGCTTGCCTTGAGCTGAAGAGCACAGGGACAGCACCCAAGCACAGAGTTCAAGGCCCATGACCATCAAAAAAAAAAAAAAAACCACTAAAAAGCAAACCAACACTTAAATGCCAAGACTGGGCAGGCCTATTTGAAAGGCAAATTTAGGTCAGAAAGGTAACAAAAGTATATATTACAAGAGCTGGAAATGTCCCTCTGGTACAGTACTCGCTGAGCATGCAAAATTACAGAGACTTAGGTTCCAGTCCTCAGTACCACAGAAAATAGAAAAAAAAGCCAGAGACTCAATGCTACTCAGAATATCTCTGCTTAATAGATATATGGCTGTTTTTTCTGAACATAATAAGAACTAAGCCAGAAGCCACTCAGACTGCGTTCTCCCCCTCTCACTCTCCCTTAAGGAGAGAAGAACGATCATCAATGGCAAGAGGCAGTTGCACAAAAGCAATACCAGCTGCCAGCTTCACGCTCAGGAGAGAACACTGTGCCTCCTCCTCGTGGTTTCCGGTACTCTACACGATCAGTGAGATTTCTCTAGTAACAAACTATAGAAATGATCCCTGAAAGTATAGTCTTAGCTAGGGACGGCTGCTATTTCCTGACTGGTTGAAATTCACACATATTATGCTGATGGTGATTTATTTATGGTATCATTTCTGTTCAATATATATTGGCATATAAATATTCCAAGCAGAACTTTTCTTTATTCGGATTTACAAAGCATTTAAATCTGAGTTTTTAAGACAAACTGTTACGCTAATTAACATACTGTTGCTCAATAGCCAATCATATGTAGCCATTTCCAACCCGCCTCCTCCGTGGCACTCTGGGCTAACCTAAGTAACACTGACGTCTACAAAGTGCGCCAGCCGCCTGGGGATAGAGCTAAAAGGTGGAGCACATGGTTATGTCTCTAACACCGAATTTAAGTTAAAAAAAATCACAGCCACACCTCTATTTGGACTTTATCCTGTGAAATTATTCCTTTTAATGTTTTGTTAATTACCAAGTCAAGGAATTGTTACTCTATAATAACATGGCTTTTGTATTTACTCATCTGCTTTAAATTTTAGTGGCTTCATATCTCCAGTCTGACAAAGCTTTTCTATATTATGAAGCCCTGCAGGATCTAACTCACATTCACTTCATGAGTCTTATTTTGTGCCACACTACCTCAGTTCTTTGTATGGATAGTTTTCCTGCAGATTTGACTTAACAGGTTGGTTGTTTTCAGGGAGATGCATGCTCATAGGTAAGTGACTGCACTGAGGCTTCAGCTCCGGGCCCAGGCATTGTTCTACTTGACCCCATAGCTCCACTTCCAGTCTTTTGCTGGTTGACTGGAGGGAAGAGTCACAGATTTCTGCCCTAGCTTGCATCTTAACTGTGAGACCAGATTTCATATCTGAGATCTCAGGTCTCAGGTTATCATTTTTTTTGGGGGGCTCAGTTGTGGGGCTTGAACTCTGGGCCTGGGCGCTGTCCCTGAGCTCTTCAGCTCAAGACCAGTGCTCTACTGCTTGAGCCACAGTGCCACTTCCAGTTTTCTAGTGGTTTATTGGAGATAAGAATCTCACGGGGCTGGGAAGGTGGCTCAGTGGTAGAGCGCTTGCCTTGCAAGCCTGAGGTCCTGGGTTCGATTCCTCAGCACCACATAAGAAAAAAGAAAAAAGCCGGAAGTGGTGCTGTGGCTCAAGTGGTAGAGCGCTAGCCTTGAGCTGAAGAGCTGAGGGACAGCGCCCAGGCCCAGAGTTCAGGTCCCACAACCGGACCAAAAAAAAAAGAATCTCACGGACTTTCCTCCGCCTGCTGGCTCTCAACCACGATCCTCAGATCTCAGCCTCCTGAGTAGCTAGGATTACAGGTGTGAGCCATGGGTGCTCCAGGATGGTGAGCAGACTCCACCCTCCTCGCAGCAAAGTCTCCACCCAGTACCTGCATTACCTAGGCAACTGGCACACCTGGAAGAGGTCACATCTGCATCCGCTGAGGTCACATCTGAATTTGATGTGGCCACACCTTTCTCAGCCCATACCCTAGACAAGGCCTAGCCCAGGCCCAGATGCCCTCTTTCTGGTGCCAGCCAGAACGATGAATAAACCTACCCCTTACCTGAATACCACGTGCGTGGTAACCTCTTTTTAAAAACCTAACACTAGGGACTTACCTTTGGCTTTAAAAACTAAACTTCAAGGGGGGGAAGGAGGGTGGGGAAAAAAACAACTAAACTTCAAGAACTTAACAGTAGTATTCCTCTTAGATACTAGATTTTGCAGAAATCACTCAGATAAATGATACTGGCTTTTCATTCAGGAAAGAACAATGTGATGTCTATGAAAGTTTGTGCATTCAACCACTATAAAAACTGTAGTGAATGTTTACAGTAGTGAGTTTTAGGATTTTTTTTTCCAGTCCTGGTGCTTGAACTCAGGGCCTGGGTACTATCCCTGATCTTCTTTTGCTCAAGGCTAGCCTCTACCACTTGAGCCACAGCACTACTTCTAGCTTTTTCTGTTTATGTGGTACTGAGGAATGGAACCCAGGGCTTCATGTTAGGCAAGCACTATACCACTAAGCCACATTCCCAGCCCATGTTTCTGAGCTCTTTTTGTTCTGAGCTAGCACTCTACCACTTAAACCACAGGTTTTTGGTGATTAATTAGAGATAAGAGTCTCATGGGCTTTGCTGCTCAGGCTGACTTTGAACAGTAATCCTCATATCTCAGCCTCTGTGGTAGCTAGAATTACAGATATAAGCCACTAGTGCCTGGTTATTTTTTGCTGTTGCTGTTGATCGATTGTTTGTCCTCCCATGTTGAAACTGGCTTCTGTTATATATTTCATAATTGAAAAAAAGACAATATTCAGAACACTATATTCACTTGTAAACTTTTCAGAATGAACTCACTAACATACAGCTCCGATCATATACTACCCTCTGTGCTGCTTTTCTTTCCCCCACTCCAGAAAACTATAATTACTTCACCAATCACAGCCACTTAAAGGTCAGTCTCTGACTTTAACTGATGAGATCTGATGCTAATTCTAGGAATTAGTATCAGAATCTCATTGAACTGTATGGTACTCACAGGTGGAGAATCAAATAACTGGTGTTGAATGGAGTCAGAGAGAGAAAAACCCTTGGAGCCAGAGCAACCACTTATTTAGAAAACAAATCTATTTAAGCTCTTCAAACTGTTAAAGAGTTCTGATTCCAGTGATGGACAATTAATATGTATCAGACCAATTCTCCCACAGATAACAAATTTAAACTCTAGAAAAAAATGTAAAAACTATGTGAAGTCACTGAATAACAACAACACAACAAAAGGTTCATATGGGAGACTTTGAAGAAAGGAATTTTGGAAATGTTTTATGACTTTGAGCCTAAGAATGTGGCTAAAACTAGAGTAGAAACAGTTTCACTGCCTTGAAGAACTAGAGGTTACAGTTCAGGGCGAGCAGTCACTGCAACTACAGAACAGAGTCAGAAGGAGAGGTCCCAGTACTGTATGTAAACTCTACCCAATACTTGGGCTGACTCTCCACACATGCACAGGGCTGGCTCAAAGTAGCACAACCAAAGTCTAAGCAAATGCATGGATGTGGCTGGAGATGTGGCTCAAGTGGGGACTCTTATCCCTAGCAAGTATGAGGCCCTGAGTTCAATCCCTGGTCCCACCAAAAAGAAAAAGAAAGAATTTAAAGATACTGAATGTTCACAAGATACCTTGTATTTAGATATAATAAATGTCATAATACTGTTTCTCACACTGGAAATGGGGCTAGACAAACACAAGAAATAACACAGCAATCTGGAGCATTAGCTTTTTTGTTTTGTTTTGTTTGTCGGTGTGGGGCCTGAACTCTGGGCCTAGGCGTCATCCCTCAGCTCTTCAACTGTAGACTAGCACTCTACCACTTGGGCCTCAGCCCCACTTCTGGCTTTTTCTGCTTATGTGGTGCTGAGGAATCGAACCGAGGGCCTCATGCATACAAGGTAAGCACTCTACCACTGAGCCACCTTCCCAGCCCCTGGAGCATTAGCTTTTATGTGAATGTACACAAAGACATCCATCCTATAGAGTATAATATAAATTTTTGAGGAGCAGAAACCATCTTTCCAATAAACTGTTGAGTTCACTATTCCACTTACACATCTTAAGCATGGTCTGTAGAAAAGTTTGAGTGGCTTTGTTTTGTTGTGAAAATACTGGGGATTTGACTTTTTCATTCAAGGATGGCTTTTTGCTGCTTAACTGGAGATAGATCTCATGGGTTTGTCTGCCCTGACTGGCTTCAAACTGCAATCCTAAGATCTCAGCCTCCTGAGTAGCTACAATTACAGCTGTGAGCCACCTGTGCTTGGCTTTAAAGAACTTTCTGAAGGCATTCTTTGGGATAGTTGAATCTAGAAAACCTGGCATTTCCCTCCTATCTATTCCTGAAAGTCTTGACAAATGCTGTTAAGGAAAACATTGGTGATCTTAACCCTACAAACAAGATAGTAGAAGCTTAATATGCCTCATTCTTTCCATAATAAAAAGAGGGGAGGAGTATTCAGGAGAACTTCTAGTAACTCTGAACATAGCGGGCCTGGATCTCTAAGCCTCCTTCCAAGTACCACCCTAGGTTCATCTTGTATATACTAGGGAGATTTTATTTGTGGATTTTTGTGGATTTTTTTTGTTGTTGTTGGTTGTGGAGCTTGAAGACAAGCCACTTCTGGTTTCCTGGTGGTTAACTGGAGATAAGCGTCTCACAGACTTTCCTGCCCAAGCTGCCTTCAAACCATGATCCTCAGATCTCAGCCTTCTGAGTAGCTAGGATTTCAGGCATGAGCCACCGGTGCCTGGCTGTTTGGTCATTCTTTCGAAGAGTGCCTGAACTGTACACATTTCTGTCTGCTAGCATGCTAAATCTGCCAGCAACCTCTAGCTAGTGGACACAAAGAGGTCAGGGAGAATTGTCAAAGTTCCTCTCCTCAGTCCACCACAGGCATGAAAAGACTCAATGGATAGAATTGATTTGAAGGAGAAAAGGCAGAAATCAAGTAGAGTCAAAGGCAAAACCTTCAAGTCCAGCCAAGTAGAAGATCTTCTGGAGCTCCAGCATAAAACAAACTTCCTCTAAAGAATGACTTAACACCTCTATTGAACAATATAACTGAACTGGTAGGGATAATTCACTTGTAACTTTAACTTTTTTTTTTTTTTGGGTCCGGTTGTGGGGCCTGAACTCTGGGCCTGGGCGCTGTCCCTCAGCTCTTCAGCTCAAGGCTAGCGTTCTACCACTTCAGCCACAGCACCACTTCCAGCTTTTTTTTTTTGCTTACGTGGTGCTGAGGAATCGAACCCAGGGCCTCATGCATTGCAAGGCCAGCACTCTACCACTGAGCCACCTTCCCAGCCCCTGTAACTTTATCTTTTGGATTTCTCCAAGAACTTAGTTTTCAAATGGCTCTAGTTTTTCTCTGAATGCTAATTCAAAAATGTGAGCCAAGTTGTATCTGCCATTTCAACTCAATACTTACCTTTCTTGAGAATTTTCTTCACTTTCACATAATTTCCTTGTTTGACATATTCATGAAGCTGAGCTTCCAAGGAGTCATTTCTTAAGGTACCAAGCTGAACAGGACAAGGGACTTGAAGATGAACAGTCCGAGACATCCTGTTTGAAATGAAAGCAACATGCTTATTCTTACAGAACCAGATAAGCAAACAAACAATCCACAGCAATTATTATTCTTTCTGTCCCTCTTTTTTGTGTGTCAGTCCTAGGGCTTGAACTCAGGACTCAGGGCCTAGACGCTGTGCCTGAGCTCTTCAGCTCAAGGTGAGCACTCTACCACTTAAGCCACAACTCTATACTCCACTTCCAGTCTTCTGGAGGTTAATTGGAGATAAAGAGTCTCATGAGGGGCCCGGCATGTAGCTTACTGATAAGAGTGCTTGCTTTGCATGCATGAAGCCCCAGGTTTGATTCCTGAGTACCACATAAGCAGAAAAAGTTGGAAGTGGTGCTGCAGCTCAAGTGATAGAGCACCATCCTTGGGCACAGAGAGGCTCGGGATAGTGCCCAGGCCCCCTGAGTTCAGGAACTAGGAATGGCAAAAAAAAAAAAAAAAAAAAAAGCACATGGCTGTTTTTAGCCAGGCGCCAGTTGCTCACACCTGTAATCCTAGCTACTCAGGAGGCTGAGATCTGAGGATCTTGGTTCAAAGCCAGCCCAGGCAGTGAGACTCTTATCTCCGATAAACCACCAGAAAACTGGAAATGGTGCTGTGGCTCAAGTGGTAGAACGCTAGCCTTAAGCTAAAGAGCTGACACCACCACCACCAACAACAACAAAAAGTTTCATGGATTTTCTTTCCAGGGCTGGCTCTGAATGGCAATCCTCAAGATCTCAGCCTCCTGAACAGTAAGGATTACAGATGTGGGCCATCGGGACATTTTTTTTTTTTTTTTTGGTCCCTTTTGGGACTGGAACTCGGCCTGGGCACTGTACCTGAGTCCCTGTTTGCTCAAGCCTAGCTAGTGATCAAACTACAGTTCACTTCTGGCTTTTTCTGTGATTAAAGAGACTCACTGGCTTTCTTGTTTGGACTATTTCTTAAGTATCAAGGAAGACCAGCACCAAAACAGCCACTCATATACCAAATCTACAGATAATTCAACCCCTTTTATACAACAGCATATAATTTATATATAACCTCACTTTCCCAGTATACATATTAAATCACCTGTAGATTATGTACAATACTTCATACAGTGTAAAGGTCATGCAAATAGCTCCTATGTTATATTAAAGAATAAAAACAGAATTAGTCCCAATAGCAATTGGTAAAAACTGCAGTTGGAAAGGAAATCTTGCTACTGAATTCAAGTTTCACACATGCTAGACTTCTGAAGCCTTACTGAAAGAATTTTCTTGCCTATGAAATTGGTTGAATCTGACAGTTGCTTATTTGCCTGTTTTGTAATACTATGGGTTGAACGCTAGAGACTCAACTTGTAAAAAAGTAGAGTAATATAAAAACTACACAACCTATGTGAGAACCTGTCTCACTGTTGAAATTAAAATGCTTACAATCTAAAGCAGGCAACCAATAGCGAACATATTATCTATTCTACAGTATAATAATAACAAATCCCCCAAAAACATAAGAAAAACCCAAAAGGTACGAGCCTTGAAATGAATCCCTAATCTCAAACACCTCTGACCTCAAATGCTACCTTACAAGTAGAAACACACACACATACACACACAGAAAACAGCCAGGCTTCAGCAAGGTATCTTTGCTGCTATATTAACCGGACACTAACCAAAAACTGCAACTAGTAAGACACGTACAAAAGAGAACAAAGATAATTCAAGAAACAAAAGTGAAAACAACAACCACTTCGCAGACCAAGTTCTAATTTTTGCTACATTAATGTCAGGGGAGAGCGCGAACGCAGTCCCCCACTACCACAAATTATGCAGTCGAGTTTCCCACATTTGGGGAAATCGCAGGGGTCAGCACATCCGGAGTGCAATGGATAAGCCTCGCCCTGGGAAAACCACCTTCGTGATCATGGTATCTCCCCTGCCAGGTAAGTATGGGTTGCGAAGGAACCCATGCTACCTCACCCTCATCCTCAACAGACTATACAGTTATGGTCAATTACATTCCCAAGCTCTTTAGGCCTTCACTTCAAAACTTCACATTTGTCCATATGATCTAGCTCAGGCCACATCCTTTTGGACACTCGTTACAATTTGTCCCATGCAAATATGTCTACAACCGGCAGGCCCCGCGCTCTTATCTACATATCCCCGCCTCTTTAGTGACGTCACCGTTGGTTTCTAGCTTTCTTCACCACAGTTCCCTCCGTAATAAGACCGACGAATTTAACTAAAGAGGTTTAAAAACGCCTTGCCTTTTGAGTACACGCAAAGCTTCTTGAGTGGATTAGTAAATGACCAGCCTAAAGCGAGCGATGCACTGCAAAGCTGGGCAGGGTGGTGGAAGGTGGTGTGGGGGTTGCTTAGGAAGAAGTATGTGTTGACAGGTCTGCATCCAAGACAGTCAAACCACAGACTGCCTACCTCACAAGGTTTCTGTGAAGCCTGAGAGTGAAAAATGCAGCTAGGAAGGCCTACACTCCTCGCTGAGGCCATCTGTTCCAGGATGGGTTCATGTCGATTTGAGCCTCAAAAAGCAAGTTTCACTAAGATTTACATTTGCAATTACCCACCCCAGTGGAGCTAACATCCAGCCTGTATGTGGCAGCCAAAAGAAGGTGGCACTCCTCTTCACATAATATGTGATACACTGTGTTTTCAGTTCTGCCTTTATAGTCTGTCTGCGCACTCTGGACTCCACAAAAATGTTTCCCACAGCCAGGTCCTGGTGGCTCACGCCTGTAATCCTAGTTACTCAGGAGGCTGAGATCTGAGGATCAAGGTTCAAAGCCAGCTTGGGCAGGAAAGTCCATGAGACTCTTATCTCCAATAAATTACTAGAAAACTGGAAGTAGGCTGTGGCTCAAGTGGTAGAGCGCTAGCCTTGAGCTGAAGAGCTGAGGGACAGCACTCAGGCCCAGAGTTCAAGCACCATGACCTACCAAAAAAAAAAGTATCCTACACAACGGTGGTATTCCAGGAGAGTGTGAAAATATCTCATTCAAATCTTTTTTTCTTTCTTTGCTGGTTCTGGGGCTTGAACTCAGGGCCTGGGTGCTATCTCTCAGCTGTTTTGCTCAAGGTTAGTGATCTAACACTTGAGCCACATCTCCATTTCTAGCTTTTTGGTGATTAATTGGAAATAAGGGTTTTTTCCTGCCTGGGCTGGCAGAAAAATCCTCAGATTTCAGCCTCCTGAGTAGCTAGGATGAAAGACAAGTTTTAAGTGACAGTAGAATGCTATTATGGTCTTGCCTAGTTTACATCTTCTCAAATGAATGATGTCTTGCTTGTAGGATCAAGTATAAGTTCTAAATGGTTTTTGTTATCCCTCACTTAAAAAAATGTTTTATGTTTTGACAAATGATGTCCAATTTTTTTGTTGTTGTTGCTGCTGCTGCTGAAATCAAGTTTCTCACTTGCTAGACAAGCAGGAACTGCTTGAGCCACACTTCCATGATGTTTTCTTCTTTTTAAAAAAAATTTTTTTGGGGTCCAGTCGTGGGGCCTGAACTCCGGGCCTGAGCACTGTTCCTTAGCTCTTCAGCTCAAGGCTGGCGCTCTACCACTTGAGCCACAGCACCACTTCCACAGCACTACTCGCTGAGAAATTGAACCCAGGGCCTCATGCATGCAAGGCAAGCGCTCTACCACTGAGCCACCTTCCCAGCCCCCTCAAGTTTTCTTGTATACATAATTGAACAGCCAAGCACTGGAGGCTGAGGGCACCTGCTTAGTTAGAGATACAGGAATGAGCCAGCCACCAGTCCCGTCATTTTGCCAGCTGTGTCTTGTTAAAATTCAGTAAAGTAGATGAAACTTGTTAGGAAATCTCTAACACAGAATGAATGTTAATGCCCATTGCCAAGGAAACATAAGCAAAACTGGTACAATCCCGTGATATATTAGGAATTTCTGGTGGCCAGACCTATTTTGCTTCTGACACACACTGACCCAGCCTCCCTTAGGGAACATTATTTAAACATCGGGAGGAACTGGAACACATTACATGGGGAACAGAAAAACATACATGCAAAAAAGGAAAGGAAGGGGCTGAGAAGGTAGCTCAGTGGTAGAACTTGCCTTGATGCAGGAGGCCGTGGGTTCAATCCCTCAGCACCCCATAAGCAAAAAAAAAACAAAAAACAAAAAAAACGCTGTGGTTCAAGTGGTAGAGCGCTAACCTTGACCTGGGGAGCTGAGGAACAGTGCACAAAGCCCAGAGATAAGGCCCCATAACTGGGCCCCAAAAAAAGAATAAAAGAGAAAGAAAGCCTCGGAGAACCACAGTACTGACACAAGCCAAGGCAAACTTACAAAAGCCTGCTTTTATAAAGGTAAAAACAACACCTACTTCGCAAACCAAGTTCTAATTTTTGCTACATTAATATCAGGGGAGAGCGCGAACGCAGTCCCCCACTACCACAAATTATGCAGTCGAGTTTCCCGCATTTGGGGAAATCGCAGGGGTCAGCACATCCGGAGTGCAATGGATAAGCCTCGCCCTGGGAAAACCACCTTCGTGATCATGGTATCTCCCCTGCCAGGTAAGTATG